CGCGGCGCCTGCGGGCTCCGTGGGGCGGCCACCGCCAAGATGCGGGCGGGACCCGGCGGGCAGGAGCAACCGCCCGGGGCGCCACCCTCGACCCTAGCTCGCCCCGGCAGCGCCTCGGATTTCCCACGCTGGCCTCAGGGACAGGGACCGCGCCCCAGACAGAAGTTTGTCCCGGGTCACGGGCGGCGAGGAGGAGTTGGAGCGCGCCAGGCACGGGGCGGCAGTGTCCCCGGCGGCGGCGGCGGCGGCGGCTGGCTTGCGAGCGTCGGGAAGGAGCGGGAGCCGCCAGCGCCCTGGGCCGCTCGGTCTGCAGCTTGCTAGGGACACGCACGCCGCTGTGCCCGAGCCCCGCGCCCGGGAAACGGGACGCGCTTCTGCCGCTCCAGTGCGACGTGTGGCCGCTAGTGGGGCCCGGAGCTCAGAAGGCAGCAGTCGTATGGAACCAGGGCTTGGGCAGAACTGGTGGATTTCTGTGTCTGGTGCAAGTGGAGAGTGGGTCAAACAATGTCTTGAAATGATTTTAATTTGCCCTTTGGGATCTGAAATGATCACTTTATTAAGAGAACAAGAACATTACCAATGCTTAAGTTTAAAGTAAAATTCAAGTTTTTATTGTAATTCTTTTTTTTTTTTTTTAAATGGTTCTTCATCTTGCTCAGAGGAACCCCATTAGGGCACCTGTAGGCTATTTACCGACCTAAACTGCGGGCGAGCGTGGTTAAATTAGGATCGCAATTTGTGTTCTGATACGTGCAAGTAGGTTAGTGCTCAATAGCCTGGAGCCTGGATCCCTCCCCATTGCTGCGAGGTGTCACCTGCTTTGTGATGTTTTAAAGGCCAAAGGAAGAAAGGAGCCCCTCAATCCTGTTGCTGAAGACTCTCTGGTGGGGACCCAGAACCAGCTAAAAATGATGACTTTCGCTGTGGTATCCCAGAGCAAATGGGGACACCCAGAGGACTTCTGTGTCTGCCAGACCGAACACATTGCCAGTATCTTCTTCAGGCATTCTATTCAGGAGGTCCTTGTGAGGCCTTTCGTTTAGAAGTCTCCACGTTAATCACTTGCTTAACACCAGAAGTGGTGGATTTGCCTTTGTCCGATAATGAGCCTGCTAGGCTTATCCTGAACTTGGGAAGGGAAATTTTGAAGTCTCGTACTTACTCCAAAAGAATCAACAAGAGACAGAGGTCTCATCTGCAATCCGACCTTTTTGATGAAATTATACTTTATAAGATAAGTCAAATTCATTTTTTAAAAGTGAATGATAACAGATCTCCCCCCACACACACCCCACCCCACCCTACACCCCCCCACACACACACACAACATGTTGACACTGGTGGGAGCATCCATAAAGGGGTAAAAAAACAAATGCAGGCTGGTTGCTTCCAAGTATCATCATTAAGCTGGATGAAGAGTTTGATATTAGGTAACATTTCATTCATTGCACGTGTTAATGCTTTCAATCAACCTTCAACAGTACAATTACTGCAATACCACTGAGGCGGTATTAACTGCCGAAGGCTGTCTTGGGCTGGTGGCTTCTTCAGAAACAGATCTTAAGGTTAGGGGGTAGCTTTGAATTGGGGGTCATGATTCCCAACAAGGAGAGAAAAGAACCAGAGGACCAGAATGAGGACAGTATGCCACTGTGGCCATCTGGGCTCAGTCCTCTGGGTTCCCTGGATTTGGGTATCCAAGTGTTGTTACCAGACACCTACTCTAGTACTCCAAAGAAACCCGTTTCTTCCCCCATTTCCTAAAGTGCGGGGCTCTGTGCACTTCACCTGTCCCTCTGTTGGTCCAGGTGACAGTACAGAGCCACCCGCCCCATTTCCCTGCCACCCACATTTCAAAGAGTGGTGGGGCTTTGTCTGCTGCGGGTCCCTTTGGTGCCTGTTTATGTACTGCCCCAGGCAGGTGACTGCTCCAAGGCACCTATGGTCTAAATAAAGAGAAAATGTGTGGTCTTGCCTTCTCAGGGGGATATCCCTGCAGGAATCTCCCCAGGGGACGTCATCTTGTGTTTTCAGCTGTAGAGATTTCTCTGTTCAGTCTAACCACCACTTGTCACTCCTGCCTCTCTGGGGGATGACGACGACGACAACATTTGCCGAGTTGGTTGGCCAAAAGTGAGGAGTGCTGTCGGGCCAGCTTCTGAGATGAGTGGGTTCCCAGAGGATGAAAATGAAAGCCCACTCGGCAGGTGCCCTCAGAGACAAAGACACCTGGCAAAGGTGTCCTCCTAATACAGCCAGAAAGAGAAGCAACCAGGGGCATAGGAAAGCCTGTGGGTTATTTCTTTCCCTTGGCCTGAAAGTCACAGAGAAGGCCCAGGCAGGGAAGGAGACCGGCTGGGTACACTAGTGATCAGGGCTTCTGGCTGAGCTGTTCAGGGACACTACTTTTGACCATAGTGTTTCTGTTTGTGATTTTGTTACAGATCCTTAAAAGTCAAAATGTAAGCCCAACCCTTCTATCCGGAATGTTAGTTACACTGACTTTGGAGGTTAATCACATGCAGAAAGTTCCTATGATATCCCAAGTATCCCAGAGGGATATCTTCATAGCCACTTAAGTGTGATCCAACGGAAAAGAGATTCGCATTGTTCGTGTGGCTCTTCTTTTCTTCTCTCGCCATCCCTGAAATAATAACTCCCCATTTTCAGATATTTGGATCATGAAAATGTTTTTTTATATAAGCAGGAAGTGGAAATGTGCGTTGTATAGGTCACACAATGATGTGTTCTCTTGATCAGAGTGTATAAGGACAGTGGGAGGAGATAGTTCTGAATCTGAAACCCACTGTGTAGGTAAAGTCAGTTTCTGGGCTGCCTGGCTTGCACAGTGGTACTCTGTCTGAAAGTCCTGTGTAAACTCTGCGACAGTGAGCCTAGGTGATTCTTTATTATGATAACCTCTGATTAAGCAGGGGTTTTAAGCATAAGTATACACTAAATCCTGGCTCCTAGATCTCATCTCTTCTCAACTTCAGAGACTGTGTGAGTTCAGGGGACAACGCACGCAAGCAGAGTCTTCCGCTCTACCCAGCTTTGGGTTGCTTGTTTATCTGATGAGCTGCTGGGGAGCACACCCAGGGCCTCACCCATGCTTGTCAAGTGCAATACCTCTGAGCTTCAACCCCAGCCCCTCTCCTCAGATATGAGAAGTGCGAACAGAATGCTTTGCCCAACAGGTACTGCATTCCACAGCGGGAGTCTCCTTAGGAATGTGGTCTCCCTCCCTTCTCTGCAGCCACAACACTACAGGTCAGGTGGATGAAAAGGAGTCCATGGTGGCTCCAGTTTCTGAGGAACAAGGCCAAGGGTCATACCTGGTGAGGAGCTCCTTGCTGGCAAGTCCCTAGGCAAGAGGCAAAGAAGGACATGCACGCATGTGCATGTCTTCCCTTCTTATAAAACTGCTTTTGCTGGGCTGGGGGTGTGGCTGCAGGACACTGTTTACCTAGCCACACCCTGGGCTCATCTCCAGTTTTGAAAAACCACAGTCAACAGCATTCAACCACAGGGCTCATCCTGAGGGCCCCTTCTATAAACATGGCAGTCAGAGGAAGTTCCTACCCTCTTGACTGTCCTAACAGAGATGAAACTCTTCCAAGAGAGCATCATCATCAGGCAGAGGGGACATATCCACCCCATAGTGGCCATGTCTGCATGGAGCCAAAGAGAGTGGGATGGGAGTGAGAAAGACATTACAGGTTTTTTCACGGGGCTAGAAGAAACCAGGCCATCTCAGCTTTCTCCATGGAAGGCCTGGCCTCATCTGGACAGGAGAAAACTTATTTCGTGGGTGTTCGTATCCTACCAAGGTCAGAATGTGTCATTGATCAAAGGCAAAGCCCATCCAGGTGGAGTTCAAAGCCATTGTTTCTAAACCTGTAAAGAGCTAGATAGAATCCTCAGCATGCCAGGAGCTTTATCCCTCTGCTTTGCCCACAAGGAACCCTCAGAGTACAAATTAACCTCCCAGTTAAACACCGGGACAGGGAACTTGCATATTCTTTTTAAAAATGTTGACCTTCACACTGTTAGACTTTGATAACACTGGGCAAGGCATACAACCTCTCTACTCAAGCCTCCTTCTGGAAAATGAATATAATCACACTGATTTCAGGTGCTGATGATTAAGTGAGATATGAAGGGCTAATTCCGGGTACATCATTGCTAGTGATCTGTAAGGAGCCTACCATGAAGACATCACACTGAGAGCCTCCCTGGTCTCTCTTCCCCTCTTAGGACATGGCTGTTCTTGTATTCCCGACTCATGGGCTCAGACATGAGGCCAGAAGAGCAGCAATGTCATGCCTGTCAGCCTCCATAACCAAGAGATCAATAACCTCTTTTCTTTATAAAGTATTCCATCTTGGGTGTGTTGTTGCAGCAACACAAAACAACCTAAATTAAAATCTTTCATTTAATTTTTTTCAGATGGGACTGGAGCTCATTATTTGCAAATAGGGTACACATATATACATATATAAATGTATATACATATATGCCCTATACATGTATATATATATGTGCCCCATATAGGTATATATGCTCTGTATATGTATATATGCCCTTTTATGTATACATACATGCCCTATACATGTATATATGCCCTCTATATGTATATACATACCCCATATAGGTATAGATGCTCTGTATATGTATACATGCCCTATTATGTATATATATATGCCCTTTTATGTGTATGTACACACCCTGTACATGTATATATGCCCTATATGTATATATATGTCCTATATATGTGTGTATATATATATATGCCCCATATAGGTATAGATGCTCTGTATATGTATATATGCCCTATTATGTAT